TATGGTTGGATTCAAGTGAAAAAAGTGATCAGTTAAATAAGAATACATCGTAGCCATTAGATCTTATGCTAAAAAATCAAAGTTATACCTTCATTAAAGATAATGTGGTAATTTTTCACAACTCACACACAAACTCAGGCTAATGCACATAGACACAGTACACAACACACACAAACTACCACACACACATACTCACACACATAACACAAACTCACGCGCGCGTGCACACACACACAAATACACAAACAAACCCACGCACACTCACCCACATACATAGAACACACACTAATACTCACACACAATACACAACTAACACACCAACACACTCTTAACACACGAACACTTCACACACCATACACAAACTCATGCACTCACACGCATACGCAAAACTCATGCACATGCACACACACAAATGCAAACATACAAACTCACGTGCGCACACACGCACATACACACACACACTCACACACATACATAGTCACACAAAAACACATAGGCCCACACACTCACACAGGCACAGACACACTCACACACTAACCCACACGCACAAACTCACTCATGTACAAACACATACAAGCTCACGCAAACTCAGACAAACTCACGCACACACACACACACACACACACACACACAAATTCACGCACACACTCACACATATACACAAACACACAGGTGAAATTTCATTACTTTTTACAATTTACGATTTAGTTCGTTGGTCAAATTTAAAATTTATCAAAACATTAATGATTGCACATTAATGTTCAACGCATTGCACGACATAACATTTGAATATACACATAAAAAAATAACTAAAAAAAGAACTGCTCTGCAGACTACACCTTATTGCACTTTATTGATAGACACATTGCACATTAGTATACGTCATATTGCACCTTAGCGTAACAGTGCATTCCACGCAATGACTATAACAGCTCTGCGTGAAAAATAAAAAATTCATTTACTTACAAGAATGTCACCGCGTGTTTGACTAAAGCTGAACACTTTGACCTTGTCTAGAGCATTGCTATATCAAATCTAAATGTTATGATTCATTCTGATTTCTTTCACTATCTCTCATATCTCCTCGTATGATCCTACCATTGTGTGTGTGTGTTAATGTTACTATTAATTTGTCAAATAAATGAATATTGTTGACATGTCATCTATATACTTTGTGTTTGAATTCCATGGCTAAAACCTCGTACGGACACTGTTCATGGGTATGGTGAAATCAACAAATAGTTGAGCCTTTTGTAACGAGGCTCAATTAGATATATAAATATAGTAAACTAATGTTTTGTACACTCGCTGATATACCCTATTGGCGCACATGAAATAAGAGAACGGCATTCAAAAATTGTGAAACACAGTGGCGAAACGAAACACAAAATTGCGGCAGACATGCAACATACCAAAATTCATTAGAAATTCCAATATATATCATGTTCTAGAATTAAAGTGTTCATCGACTTGTCATAATTATTTTATTGTCCATTCGAAAAAAAAAATAAAATAAAATAAAGGGCAAAAGAGCCTGACTTTATGAATTTTCATTTAAAATATACATGCCACCTAGTAGTATATGTTTGTGATATCAAACCTACTAAAATTTATACGTGGGAAATATTGTTATAGAGTAATGAGGTAATACTGATACGTGTACACACTATAATTCACATTAATATCCACACTCATGTTGGTCCGACTTCACCTAAGTATGTTTATCTAAATAATTTATATTATATAATTATATTATGCATACATGGAAAGATCTTTTAATAGAGGTGTAAGAAAACCGAATCGAACTGAACTTGAGTTCTTCCGGTGCAATTGGTAATGGATTAAAATCTGACACTGATTGGATTTTGAATTAAAGTGAATTAATTTTAAATAAAGTTTATTGAATGAAATTTTAATAATATTTAAAATGTAATAATTAAAGTTTATTTCATATAAATAGTGGAAGAAAGTTTATTGGAACTGATATGTAGTCATAAATATGTAAATTGGTAAATAGTGAATTAAAATTTCTGACATGTGCGAAGATAATTAATTGGTATATTATTTAATTATATTTGATAATATTGAGAAAAGTTGAGTTTAATTAAATTTGAGTTGACTTTTGAATTAAAAAGATCATCCAATCGGTCAAAACCGATTTTGATTCGTTACCGATCACGCCCTTAATACTCGACTCGGGCTTGAGTGTTTATCGAGCCAAAGTGTTGACAAATCGAGCAAATAAACAAGCTCCGGTCATTCATTAATATTAACATGTAACAAGTCAAACTTGAGCCTTAACGAACCGGTGCATAAAAACTTACATAAAAAACTAAAATTAATTTCGAGCCTACTCATTAATAAATGAGGTTTAAAGGAGCACAAGCTCGTTTATCTTATCAAACAAACAGAGTCGGGTAGACTTATGTCGATCTTACGAGTTGCTAGTTCGTTTAACAATTTTAGGTTTAGAGCACATTAATTATCTCAGAAAAACTTCATTACTAAAGACTGGAAGACTTCCTCTACCCGCTCTCTTAATGCAACATTACTGTATGAAATTAAAAGGTTAACATTAATAGGTCACTTCGTAAAAATACTTATGCTTAAAAAAAGATGTTAGGCGCCAATGAATTGATGTATTGACATTTGTATCAAGTATATTTATTTTATTTAGAACACATCAATATATTATATTATGAAGGCTCGTAGAAATACAGGCATCCAGATATTTGCCTTTATATATTGTGACTTATGAGGGATGCATCCATACCTTCGAATATATCATATATGTATCATCTTATAAATTTAGAAAACTAAAGGTTCGTTTGTTTATTAAAAAAAAAAATCGATTCATTACTTATTACATACTCAAAATCTAACTCAATTTTAACTCAGCTCCACTATCATCAATATAATTAAATAATATTAATCAATCATTTTTACACGTCACATCAAATTTAATTTACTATTCATCTACTCAAATATAATTAACCAATCATCATGTCACGTCATCTCTCTCTTACTTTTACATCAAATCAAGTTTTAATTATTATTATTTCAATATAAACTGTAAATTCTACTAACAACTAACCATACAACGTTTATCAAAATTAATAAAGAAGTAGAAGACACATACCAGAAGTCTCGACACACATCCACCAGAAAAATTCACATGTTACCTGCTTCTTCCTGCGCAATATCAAATTGAAAAAATAAATGGTATAGTTGGGATTTGCAGCATGCATGCAAAATAACTAGCTGACTTTTATTTTATTTAAATCTCCAAATTGTGAAATTGTTTTAAAATCTCCAAATTGGTGCCAATTCAAGGGCCTAATCAAGTAAAGCCAATGATAAAAATTAGTATGTCATTGCAACCATACAATGTCTATTTTCTTCAGCCATAAAAGGCAGCCAAATTTCAGGCAAACTATTGAAAAAAAGTCGCAGCATAAAATGTAAGTTTCTCACCAAGTCATCTTACATTCACGAACCACGGTCAGACTTAATCGATAACAGTGGTGAGTTGGTTATGAAATGTAGACGGATCGCGCTGACATGTCAGTAAATAAAGACCGGAATAGGGTTCAATCTATTCCAAGCCCATAGACAGGCCATAAAATGAAGGCAAATTAGGATAAATTCAATCATTAAAAGTCAGATTGTCTATTCCTTTTCGCCAATTCTCCTTTTTTACCCCCTTTTTTGCAATTTGAAAGAGTGACTGTACACAATTGGTAAATGCCCCTATTTGGCAGGGTGTTTATACTTAATAACAAGTGTTGTATATCTTGTGTAATATTCAAAAGGTCAAAAAGTATGTTTTTACATGACATTGAATACCCAAATTCCCGAACAATTAACAAAAACAACTAGCGATCAGTTCTTTAGAGGAGAAACTCATCTGCAACTGAGAATATCTACAGAATATGCATGTGTGTTGCGTAAACCTCGATATTGTTGACAACTGACAAGTAAAATAAAACTCGCACTTCCCTGAATTCAAAACCAGCCACATGCTGAAGCAGTTCAGCCTGAAAGTACACAATGAGAATCAACAACTGAATCGCATAAATGATATTGGACATTGACATTTATTTCAAAAGTATATCAAATTTGGCACGAACCAACTGTCAAGTAGATAATTAAAAGAAAAAAAAAATATAAATATATATAGTTAACCCTTCGAAGTGCATAACCATATATACAGGAACACTGAATTTTTAAGTGCATTTAGTTACTCAACCACAAATATACTTGATAGGCAAATGGATGGCCCGCAAGAACAACCGACTCTTCCCAAACGGAAAATATGTCAGAACAGAAAAGGGCATAAAAAAGGTACAATAATCAGATATAGTATTTCAGTGTTCCAGTGATAATGTGACTTGTGACAAATCTCAGATTCTATAATGTTATTCTGAACTAATTGCTGATATAGTATTTCAAGCATCAGATACAATGATCATGCTACTGTAAAGTAACAACAATTTTGACAACTAGGACTTGTCTTCAGTATGATGCACATGAGATAAATACATATTTGCCAGCAAAGACTGATCCGACTTGAAGGCATGAAGTAGATGGAGCATTCATGTCAGACCCCAAAAGAAATTAAGATAGAGAAAAGTGACCCCACAAGGCCCAAGTCATACATATTTTCAATGTTCACACTTTTCATCATATAAATTTCTAACTATATCTTCATGACTACATGTGCGATCAGAGAATATCTAGCAGAAAACCTCTGAAAATTAATGTTAAAAGAGCATCAAGCTAGAAAATTGAAAATAGGAGTCAAGAAATAAGGATTACCAGGGAAAGATCAGGACCATATATAATCCATCTTGTTACAATGACCAGTTTGCAAAAGCCTAAGGATCAAAGAAAATAATTGTTACTTAAAAAAATGAAGATCAACTTAACATTAGATGTACTAAATCTGCAATTATTGAAAATGGGTATCACAACATACCATAAAACAAATTCCTCTATCTTCAGTTCAACGCCCCTCGGCACCTAAAACAAAGAGTAGAACAGTAGGCAGCTAGTTGAAAAAGATAGGTGGCACATGCAAATGACATAATATCAATGAAGTAGAGAAAGATCAAGCTTAATCTCCAGATCCAAAACATTTAAAATCAAGCAATAAGTTTTGGTCAGAGTGAAGCAAATGATTCTGTTGGAATGTCGCTGGTGAGTTGCCCCACATTGATTCTATAGGACAAATGAGCATAGTATATAAGCATAGTGAGCCACTTCTCTCGTCACCAACTGTCTTTGGTATGGAACCTCATAAGATAGCAACTAGGCACGCCCTCTTAAGGTGTGCTTCACCCTGCAGGACCTCACCCCTTCCCCCACCTATATAAATCTAATATATTCCTTTAAAATGATCAACGAAAAGACCATATTAAATCAACCCCAAATGTCTTAGTTTTGGTGACTTTCGTTGACCTATATTGTCACCCCTTCCCCTGCCTATGTAAATCTAATATATTCCTTTAAAATGATCGAAGGAAAGACCATATTAAATCAACCCCGATTGTATGAGTTTTATTGACTTTCATTGACCTATATTGTTAACATATCCATATTTAAATTACCATATTTTGATAAGTTATTTATTTAGGGCTAGAATAAGGTTATTGGCCAGACTTTTGCTTAGGAACCCTAAGGTGTTTTAACTATTATAGGGTTTAGGCCTCTGAAGGCATCGAGAAAAATAAAAGAGGAGCCTTTGGCTTAGGCACTGCGTTCTCACTTGAGGCTTGCCAGCGATTGTTCATTTTTTTCCTATTTCTTTAAGTTTCCATTCAACTATAAATTTCAATTTTCATTTATTCTTCTTTCAATCATCCTTAATCCATATCATATACTAGAATGCTAGATAAATCGACCATGGCGGTGCCATTAGGAATTTGTGAAGGATGGCATTATGACCGCCGCTATGATGGGATTCTAGCCTTTCATCATCCGCCATCGATAGCACTAAAGAAAAGGCCCAAAAATGATGAAATTTTATTCGCAACTTTTCTGCTCATCAAATTATGTGAACCATGAAATAAATCCTATCATGCAGTATACCTATTGAGATAGAAAAATAACGACAAAAGTAAATAAAAAATTCTCTAAATCCTCAATAGTATCTCTATCTTCAGGAAAAAGCTTCTTAGTGCTTCAAGCAATTTTAGTCTAACAAAATAACTTATTTTTTTTTAGTCAAAGAAAATAGTTTCTCAAGATACAGATACGTCATAGTACTTCATGGGACACTTAGAAGAAAACTAACAAAGAAACCACACTAACTGTCTTACCGCCTAGAACCACAGTTACAAGGTATCTTTTTCTCTTCCAACGGGAACTTGTAATTGTAAGTTAGTTCTTCACCAGCAGAGATATGCCGCTTTGCGTAAATGAAAATTTTCTTCTGTCCCTCGACACTAATGACCTTAGTGTAGCAATTAGGCTAAACACAAATAGACAAAATAGTAACTCCTCTTTAGAATGGCTACTACACATAGATCACTATGATATGCCTACGGATCTTTGTCAAATGGTTACCTCACAGGAATGATTTATAAATCTAGCAATCCCTCCGCGCTTCGTAGCATCAACCTGAAGAAAAGAATAATCAAATGTTGCTTTCTGTTTGTTATAGTCCAATTCATATAAACACAAAGGCAACCATCATATCATATGATTTGTTGTTGGACATCTACCAGCTCAAGGACATATGGAAGAGTCCAAGGGAAGAAAGAAAATCTGAACGAGCAAAAGGCTTTTTAAGAAAAAGCACTGGAGAAAATTGAGGATCATACAAAATACAAGGGAATGCAAAAGTTCTATAAGTAATCAAAATATTTTTCAATCCAGAAGAAAGTTTGTTAGGCTGAGTTGAACGAAAAAAGTTGTCTACTTACGACATATCCATCGTCCAATCTGAAAAGATAACTGCTACCAATTCCCATTTTCTCGTACTCGCACTCACGTATGTCAGATATCTGAAATAATATGTCAAAAAATTATACTACGAGGATAAAGCATTGACTTGAACCGAAAAGATACCAGAAACACGGTGGAGTGGAAATCACAAAGTATATCAATTGAACTTTTTTTTGTAGTAATACTTTCGTGCCCACATCTGGTGTCTACTACTTCATGTTCCACAAGCTTTGTTACTAGTCAGTGGAAAGATTGCTGAATTTCTTCATAGCCAGCGAAAATGCTTCTCTAATGAGCTCACTTCTTCAGATTATGACTTGAAGCACTGTCTGAGTTTCTTATACTTCTTAAATAATAAAATTTCCCTTCCAGAGGGTTCACATATTCAGAATTCTATTTTATAAATGCTATGACGATCAACATCTAAAAACAAGAAATATTTGTCGTCTTTCGATCCACTAACAATACCCCTTCTCCAAATGACATGTAATAGAGAAGAGAAATGGCTGCTTACACGAGGGCGAATAAGTTCCCCAACATATTCTATAACAAAGTCCTCTGCTTCAATTGGTTCAAGCGCAATAAGACCCCAATCATGTATCTTGCTCCGCTGGAAACGCAGGCGTTTTTTCCTCGCCTGGTAAAACATAATAGGTCAAATAATCATATTATTATAAAACAGTTGGAAAATGGAGAGAAACTTCTTCTGCCATTTACTTTCAGCTGTGTGGCTTTGAGAAGATCAGCACCCTCTGCAGCAGCAAGAAGGTTACGCAACTTGACCCTGTTTGTTCTCGCTGAAAGTCCCTTATTTGAAGAATGAGATCCAATGGTTTCACGATTTACATATTGGGAATCAATGCTACTGCCCCTAACCCGAGCCTTTTCAGCAGGACTAGCGCTCAAAGACCATTTACGCCATTCCCAGCCATTCATAGAGGATCTAGCACAACCTTCCGACTGAAGGCAAGGCCTTAAGGTCCTAGACTTGCTTCCCTTGATCTTCTTAACTGAACCTTGTCTACGTGGAGGTTCTTTGGAAATTTCACTTACTAACTTCTGGACTTTCCCTGGCTGCGAGTGTTCTGTATCATCAATTAGTTGCTTCTTTTTCGGTTTTGAAACTTTGCTTGCTGCACAAAAGAATTAATAGCAGCCGAAATAAATAATTTGGTCAGTGAAACTACTGTGTGCGCGTATGAGTGAGTGAGAGAGCGGGTATGATACCAACATTTTGGCACTTTTATGTTGCTACCAGTGGCCTCAGGTTCTAAATAACTTGATTCAAGGCTTCTGGCAACAGAAATCTTCTCAAGATTACATTTATCTGTGAGGAAAAGAAAAGCATGAATCATCTTCAAGTGTGTCAGTATATATGACATATGCAATGTTTATCGAATGAACAGACAACAGACAAGTAAATTATGATCTATAGTAAAGAACATAAATAACTTAGAGAAAATAACGAGGTTAGATCTAAAATTTAATTCAATACCAACCCCACCTACCCACCCACACAAGTAAGGACGACTATTTATACTAAAATTATCAACTTGATGAACAAGAAATTAACCCTCAAAACCTATGAAAATAAACAATAAAATCAACTGTGATTTAAATAAGATGTTATCTAGTTAAACTTGATCTCCATCATAATCACTCGAGCAAATTTCAATGATTAGCTCTCAGAATGCATACTTTATAGTGCAAAATACTAAAAATACCTCGACTAGCTCTTGCGGTCTTTTCTGATGTTTTTCTACTAACATGCAAGGATGATCTTTTCCCCCCAATTCGAACATTAGCATGTGGCTTACTACTGTCATGTTCTACAATTCTCTTTAAGTTAGAAGTTGCATTTTCAACTTGAGTAGCATGATTGATATTTCCAAGGATGGAACCTCTCCTTGACCTTTTCAATCCTCGTTTCAGATTATCAGTGTCTCCAGTAGCCAAAAACTGAAAAAATGATCCTGGCACTTTATTGCTCAACATTCTTCTCCGAGAATATTTATATTTACCAACTAATAATGTCTCTTCAGAAAATCTCTTTCCATAAGCAGGTTTCTCTTTATTCACCCAACCTATGGCTCCCTAGCAAAGCAAATACAGGATATGAGGCTAAAAATTTAATTCACTGATTAAACTATTGAAAGACGATCTATAAAAATTACCTTACTGCCTGATGCGATTCCCCTAAAAGAGCATGTCATTGTTAGAGCTTTCTCAATGGCATCATCAATATACAGAGATTTCAATTTTCTCCGGACACACTCGTATAACCTCTGACGAATTATCATTAGTGCAACCTGGAAAATAGTTTTTGAAACCTGTTCATCCAATTTAAATGACTCTACTAGGAGAGTATGTGATGAAGCACAATAAGTAATTTCCTCAAGTTCAGGCGGGCGTAATCCATCGACAACTGCAATATCACTGCCATCTTCTAAATGCACAGGCAATTTTTCAAATTCCCTCCGAGAGAAATGTAATGGAACATTTTGTTCCACGCTTTCCTCAGGTTGTGAAGGCCACAATTCATCTACCTCAGTACTAGTTTGATCATTTAAATGCATGGGCAATTTCCCAAATACACCTTTTGATAAATTTGTCATGGAAACTTCATGATGATGAACACCACCCTGCGATAGAAGTTTTGTGACTTGGCCAGCATTTGATAACATAACTGCTGAATTGTAAAATGATTTTTGACCATATGCACTTATATTGCCGTGTAGATGAGAGGACTTCAGAGATACCTGTCATGGAATCACAAGACTATTATCAATAGAACTATAAGAAGAGTGCAAAAATAGAAATGGATTATAGTGAAGAAAGCTTCAAGCCATTACCTGATTCATATGACCACTATCTGACGAAATAAGGGTCTCCTTCACTTGTTCATCCACAAGACTTTGAAAGTAATCTACTAATGACAGCTTCGAAGCTGAGTGAAGATCATCCAGTACATAATCCAGGATGAACTCAATGTCTTGCCAAGAAGAACCAGGTCCAAAACCTGGCGGGCAATCTACTTCAGAGGATGAGTCATGCTCGAGAATCAGCTGTCAAAAGGAATAGCAACAAAATTCAGAACACCACATTCAACAAATGAACTAGACAATACCATAAACATCAATGCATACGTAGTCAGCAGCTTCTCGATTTTCAATCTGCACATTTAACTCTCTGCATGGGGTGCATCTCTCAACAACATAAGGAGGTTGCCACAGTTTCCTCTTTCTCCATGCACATGAATAGTTAGCAATAGGATCATAAAAGACAGCATTCCACAAGACCTCAGAAGAAGAAAGAAAAAGCATTCTGTTAACGGCCATATATGCTGCACAGAAGTTTTCATAGCTTCCAACTGATTTCAGGTGAGGCGGAGATCTTATTGTTTCAACATTACATTTCTCCTCACCACTGTCGGATACTCCTGTTTCATCCAAAATCACAACATCCTCCTTTCTCTCATAACATATTTCAGACTGACACAAACAAATTAAAAAAAAAAATAGGATTATCCCATTGAGTAATATGATATGATTATTGTAATTCTTTAATGCTTTATGCAAGTATCTACCTTTCCATTGCATTTTGACAAGGATTTAGGAGCCTCAACAACAGGTTCAGTCAAATGATTCTCACGAATTTTCTTGGCAGAAAGAGGATCCGAAATAATGTAACTAACAATCTCATCAAGTACAATTTTTCGTGCTGTTCTCATGATTCCAGAGTGAAGTTGAGAACAAATTTCTTCAGAAATTTCAGAAATCAAGTCCAATGCTGAGCCTGTGCCTTGGTCATTGGTATCCTGTGCAGAGACAGTCCCAAGTCTAGATCTTCCCCAAATGGTTAACAATGATTCCAAATTCAAAGGTTTACACTTCTTGTCAATGTGATGTATCTGCGCAGAAGGGCAAATGGCAGTAACAGTCAGCAAAAAGGACTCACAGAAATTTACTTAAAAATCAACAAAAAAAAGGGATCATTAGGACAAAATGGAAAAAACAAACCTAGATTACAACTGTAGCTCAAAGATACAAAAACAGAGGGCCTTTGATTTAGATGTAACTAAAAATCAACTCGCTTGACATGTCATATTTTCATAACCTACCTAAAGTGCCAAAACAAAATACGTAATCTTTAGGCATAGCAAAAGTGAAAAGTCAGAACAATTTCTATGTTACATATTTTTCAGGCATAGGCATACTACTCCTAGCCTTGAGAAAGAGGCTTATCAAGCCTTAAAAGCGCTAATGCCTGAACCATGAAGTACCCAGGTATCATTTCAATGCATTAGTAATTGCCCACCTGCGCACCAGCGTCTCAGAAACAAGGTGCATTCACGACCAATGGACGGAACAAAGAATACGATTAGCCTAAATAGAATTCAATTACATGACATTTACACAATCAATTTTCACGATTTAATAAAACATTGCCATTAATGGTATCTGACACATTTGATTAAGTATTCCCAAAATGAGTAGAAAATCAAGCCTAAATTCTCATCTTTATTTGCAGACAAATAGAAGTATGCAACAGGAAGTAAATGTGAAGCCCAAAATTAAGGAAAATAATATATTTCAAAATAAATGGAACCCTTACAATGAGGTAAGTATCAATTCAAGAAATTAACACTTGCAAAATAATTTTCATTCAATACAACTTTTACAAAAAAGAGCTAATCAACTCCTCTTTACACGCATAAAATTCAATTACCCATGCTATACAGAAACAGATTAACAACAAATAAGCTTAATTTGTATACACTAGACAGTAAATCACCATCGATGAGGTAGGGATGTATCCATAGTGACACCATGAGTAGAGCTCAGTAAGTGAGTGCGGGCCATGCCTCCTACCTTCCTTATCCTCAAACAGCCAACAAGATTCATCTCCCGACTGCCGCCATAAAGAAGAAACAAGTTACAAACACCAAAGATTATTAGGCCGATATCGAAGGGGGCAGAAACCGATAAAACGAAAAAAGAAGAATCACTATACCAACGGGAAGTTTATTTCAACA